ACATTTTTCGATCACAGCGCGATGTTTTCGTGACGCTGTGATGACGTCAAATGTGCGCTTTTGTCAAGCGCGATTTTGTCCTCCGCGGTTTTGTGGTGGAACCAAACACACCATCTCTGGATGCCCTAGGTCCGGGGGCCACTGCCCACCAGAGGCAGCAGGAAAGTTAGCGCCGTCAGAGCATTGGCCCTGGAGGAGAAAGGGACCACTGCCCAAAGATTCCGGGAATCGCCGGTTCCCACAAAGAGACGGGAGGATCCTGCCACTCGCAGAAACTTCCACCGCTTTTTAACAGCAACGCCACCCCCAGCCCACCTCCACGCATGAACGGGGCGGCACGCAGCGTTGCCTCGCGGGAGACATTACAAGGAAAGGACGCGGCACCTCTGTATAATATTTCGCGGTCCCCACCGGCGGAAGGAAGAAAGGGGGGGGGAGGGAGGGAGACCGGCCGCACTGCTGAACAATGCACTTTTGAATTCAATTAAAGTGATTATCTGTTGTGCCAAATAAATTGTGTACAGCATATATCCTGTAGCAGTTTACACCTAAAGGCTCATTATTTTCCTAACGGTTTCCTCCTGTTTATGCACTTTCAAATTAAATTGCTGATAATATGCGCCCAAGTTTAAAAAAAAAAAACAAAAAACACGAGTGCACCTTGTCCGAAGAAAATTGATTCTCCTTTCCTCCTGAAGCGAGCGATTGCCAGTTTTTATATACTCGGTTCCTGGCGATCATTAGTAATTCAATTTTCTTTTTATTAGCCCCCTTATCTGCTGAGCAATATAGTGGCAGGCCTGACCTCTTTCGCACGGGTAAATGTTTTAAAATCTTTTCCCTGATTAATTTTGCCAGTTAAGGAAAAGAGGAGAAATGGCCCGGCTCTTAGCCATCACAATGAATATAGCTTAATGTTGATGGTGATGGAATTTCTAATGCCAGGGAAATTGATTGAACGCAGCAATTACGGCTCCCTCCTAACTCAAGGGAAATGGGAGTGTTCTCCTGGCCGCAGTCTTTTGGTTATTTAAAACAATCCAATTTGCAAGGATAATTATATATTAGTGTTTTATCTGCCACTTGAAATGAACATGGGAGTTTTGATACTGGCCCGGCAATAGCAGGTTATTGCTGCAAATTACCCGCTATCTGCTCTCTTTCACATAAAGAGCGAATTAGGCAATCAATTACCAGAAAAAGGTGGGCCAGGGAAAACAGGAGGGCGAAGACTGCCCTCTACAGGTCAGGGGGAGGAGGCGTCACGTGAGCCTCGGCGGAAGGGGGGGCGGGGGGGATGATGATGATGGAGGAGGGAGGATAAAGGGAAAGAGGAAGAGGAGGAGGAAGGAGGAGGAAAGAGAAGGAGGATAAAGGGGAAAAGGAAGGAGGAGGAGGGAGGAGGATAAAGAGAAAGAGAAGAGGGAGGAGGAAGAGGAAGGAAATAGAGGAGGAAAAGGAGGATAAGAAGGGAAAGAGGAAGAGGAGGAAGAAGGAAGAGGAAATAGTAGAGGAGGAAGTGAAGAGGATAAAAGGGGAAAGAGGAAGGAGGAAGAGGAAGAAGGGAGGAGAAGGAGCAAGATAAAGGGAAAGAGGAGGAAGAAATAGAAGGAAAGAGAAGAAGGGTAAAGGGGGAAAGGGAGGAGGAGGAAGAGGAGGATAAAGGGGAAGGAGAAAAGACGGAAGAAGGAGAGGGGAGGAGGAGAGGAGGAAATAGTAGAGGAGGAAGTGAAGAGGAGGATAAAAGGGAAAAGAGAAAAGAAGAGGAAGAAGAAGGAAGGAGAAGGAGCAAAATAAAGGGAAAGAGGAAGGAGGAGGAGGAGGAGGAGGAGGAGGAAGAGGAGGAGGAGGAGGAGGAGGAGGAGGAGGAGGAGGAGGAGGAAGAGGAGAAGGAGGAGGAGGAGGAGGAGGAGAAGGGAAGGAGGAGTGGAGGAAATAGTAGAGAAGGAGGTGAAGAGGAGGATAAAAAGGGAAAGGGAAGGAGGAGGAAGTAGAGGAAGTAGAGGAGGAGGAGGAGGAGGAGGAGGAGGAGGAGGAGAAAGAGGCAGGGCCAGGAATGGGCTGCATCTAGAAGCTTGCTAGCTGTTGCAACTAAACAGGCCCTAATCAAATTACCTGCAGGACCTCATAATCAGGAGCCCCCCCACCCCACCCTCACCAACCCCAGACTCCCAGGGTTCAGAAGAGGGAGGGGTTGCGATGGCTGGTTGATTTTCAAAGCTGAGCAAAGGCTCAAAGCCCTCGTGTTAACCCTTTCCTTGCAGGCCTCAGGGCCTGCTCACCTGGCTCGGAGGCAACCCAGGTGCACCTGCCGTCTTTCACAGACTCCCTTTCGGAGGCCACGCATGTTCAGGTCTCTGGTAACAACCACAAAACGCACACCAGCTGCCCTTGAGCTGCAACAGGCAGCGTCGCAAATGGCCCAGCAGATCTCGTTTGTAAATCTGGACCTTTTTAACACCCCTCTCGATTACAGGCTGGACTCGACTTACGCCCACAACTAAGCCCCCAACATTTTTAAAGTGAATTCTGCTCCATTTTACAAGATTTCTTGCCGCAGTTACTAAGTGAATCAGTAAGTCAGTAATACGGTTGCTAAGTGAATGTGGCTTCCCCATTGCCTTTGCTCATCAGAAGGTCGTAAAAGGGGGGGGTCACGTGACTGCATGTCAGAGTGCACACTGTGTGACTATTTTGAGACAACTTAGAGCAAAATACGGTAAACATGTTTGTCTTTCAAATAGTGGTTTAAGTACAAGGAATATATACATACACATACTAGGCAAAGTCAGACAAACAATCATTAATTACAGCACAGAAGCACACACAGGGCCTCTCTTCTAAAACAGCCTCTCAAAGTGGTAAAGAGTCAAACAACTCTGCTGACTCATTACTATCATTACAGCAGCTGGTCAGCTATTAAAATATCATTATTATCCTGACACTCCGGGATGCTGCAACTGTCATAAGTACATGCCAGTTGCCAAGCCTCTGAATTTTGTTCACAGGACCGAGGGGATGCCGCCACCGGCGGTCAAGTGAAAACCGGAAACAAGTCACTTTTTTTCAGCGCCGTTCTAACTCCAAATGGTCACTGAACAAACGGTTGTAAATCAAGAACACCCGATGTAATCTGGACTGAAAGCTTGACTTCTCCAATCGTATGTCCACAATCTATTACGAAATCCTGTCTTAGCCACAAGGCACCACAACAACAAAACCTACCCAAACATCTGCCCCAAACACGAACTTGCACCCTACGAGTCGCGCCTAATAAATGTAGGTCACGTACATAAAGTGGTTTCTCCCCCGTCCCCCGCAAGAACAGCACAAAACAGGAGTTGCAAAAAGGAGGGGCAAACACGAAAGGCAGAAACACAACGCTCTGAGCGAGGGTTGTGCATTGGGGAGGCTGAATAATCTGCAATCAGCCGTTTTGTTCCTCCCTTTTAAAGGTTTTTATAAAAGACTTGTTTGGCCCCGCAGTTCTGTTTATGAGGAAGTCGGAGTCAGCCGGCGGGGAGTAAACTAAATAAAGAGCCAACGCAACAACTGTAAAGCACATCTGTCTTTGAAGCCCCCCCCCCCCGGCCCCTCCAGATCTTCAAATACCTTTCTGAAATTGTCAACATTTCAAAAACCACAAAAATGCCAGAAAGATGCCAAGCTGGGCTCTTCTGCCCAAAGGCTCAGCGGAGAGATGCGTTTTTTTATTTTTTTTTATTTTACACCAGTTCCAACTAACTCAAGGGCCTTCTTCCTCCCATCCTCTTCCTCTTCAAGGCACAGGCAAAGAAAGCCGGGGCAACTGAGAGCCCAAGAGGCATGTCCCAAGTTCAGATCCTAAGCAAACCATAAGCCACAGCAGGTCGTAGAAGCCCCCCTCACCCCCAGTTAGTCATTGGCCACCACCACCCCCAAATTTCCACGGCTAAAATCTCTGAAAATCAGGTAACTTTCAACAGCTCGATCCTGAATACGGACAGGGGGAATAAAAATCTACCTTTTTTTAAAATCAGATATTTTTTATTTAAATTGGGATTTTTATTTAAATTTGATTTTTTTTTAAAATTTTATCAGATTTATTTTAATCAAATGCTTGTGGAGTAAAAATCTGTCTAAAGAGAGTTTTCTACCTGAGATGCATTCGTAACTTAAGTTTATTCAGCGTGAAACGGAGCAATGAAGCAAGAGGAGGCTGTGTATTCTGCAACATTTACCTTTCCGGTAAACTCCTTCGACGCCTCCCAGCTCTGCAAAAGCTGAGATCACATGCGCTGCATGGGTGCATTCACACAACTTCACAGCAGAGATGACAGTTGCTATTTTAAAATTACGATTTAAATCGAGTTGATTTAAATCAAGCCTTTTTTGCCGTGTTTCCCTGAAAATATGACATGTCCTGAAAATAAGGCTATGCCAGATTTTTGCAGTGGGGAAAAATATAGCAATAGTAGCAATAGCAGTTAGCCTTATATACCGCTTCATAGGGCTTTCAGCCCTCTCTAAGCGGTTTACAGAGTCAGCATATATTGCCCCCACAGTCTGGGTCCTCATTTCACCCACCTCGGAAGGATGGAAGGCTGAGTCAACCTTGAGCCGGTGAGATTAGAACCGCTGAACTGCAGATAACAGTCAGCTGAAGTGGCCTGCAGTACTGCACCCTAACCACTGCGCCACCTCGGCTCTAAACTGTCTCCCCAAAATAAGCCCCTTGGACAACCCCACCCCCTCCGGCCAGGCAGAGGGCCACCAACCCACCTAGCGGTATTCTGAAGGCACCAAGCTGCATAAGACCGTTCCCCCCCCACCGCCCCGTCTCCTGCAATTTGGCGCCTTCGGAATACTGCTAGGTCAGTGAGTGGCGCTCTGCCCGGCTGGAGAGGGGGGTTGCAGGGCGGCTGCTCGTGAGCGTGGTCACCTCACGACTGCTGTGTTGCACTGCTGCAACAGCGCAACACAGCCGTTCGTCCCTGAGGCTGTGCCCGCGTCCTCCCTTCCCTGCGCCAGGCTCTTTGGCACAGGGAAGGGAGGGCCCCAAAACAATAACCCCCCCCCGATAATAAAGCCAAGGTCATATTTGGGGGGGTCAAAAGAAAATAAGACCCTGTCTTATTTTCGGGGAAACACGGGATTAGTGATTTAAATCGTGATTCAAATCGTGATTCAAATCGAGTTGATTCAAATCAAATCCACCCTGAATACAGATCACAAGGTTTTTCAGAAGTGGGAGGCAGCCCACCCCTATCCCCACCCTTAAAACACCACAAATGGGGCACTGCAACCTCCAGGACCGCCGGCTTTTCCTAGGACGTCACCCGCAGCCTTCCAGGTGATGAGAGAAAAGTCCCCCAGGGGTCCTGATTGTTTGGCTAGAGACCCTCTCGAACAATCAGCGGTCGGATCCACCCGAGAGAAAATCACAATTGCAGTCTTGGCTTGGCCACTCATCCAGCGTTGAGGGCGTCAGGCAGGCCAAACTCGCTCCCGCCACCCACCCGGCATCTCCCAATTCAAAGCATCTCTTACCTTCTTTGGGCGAACCAGGAGCGCGAGAGGCCGGCAGCCGGCGCAACCGGTGCTTGCTGATCTGCACGAGGCCCTTAGGGCTGGCTTTGCGGGCGGTGGGGGAGGACCTTCCCCTCGTGGCGTGGCGCTTCCGGAGGCAGTAGCGGCTTTTCAGGAGCAGGGTGGGAGAGCTGCAAGGAGAAGCAGAGCGCGGGTCAGAAGCCTTGGAGACAAACAGGCGCATCTGCAAAGGCACCACATGGAAAGGCACCACATGGAAAGGGCACCACGTGGAAAGGTCTTGCACACATAAACCCCCAAAACAGCACATCGTACACCACTACAGTTGTTCTTCATAGGCTCCTAGAGCTGGAAAGGACCTTGGAGGTCTTCTAGCCCAACCCCCTGGCCAAGGCAAGGGTCTTTATACCACCCAGCCAGTGATGGATGGAAGGCCCACAACTCTTTCTCCTTGCTTCATCATCCTTCACACCGACAGGAAAGTCCTCCTAATTTCCAGGTTGGGTCTCCCTCTGAGCAGCTTCCACCCATTGCTTCTTGTCCTCCCCACCACTTCAGATGCTTTGGGAAATAAACCCACCCCACCCCCCTCTTCTCTAGGGCAGCCCTGCAAGGATTGGAAGATAGCAATAGCCCTTAGACTTATATACCACTTCACAGTGTTTTACGGCCTTTTCAAAGTGGTTTACAGAGTCAGCCTCTGGCCCCCAACAATCTGGGTCCTCAGTCAGCTGGCAGTCAACAGAAGTAGCCTGCAGTACTGCACTCTAACCACTACACAAACACGGCCCTCCCTTCCTTCCTTCCTTCCTTCCTTCCTCCCTTCCTCCCTCCCTCCCAACTTAGCACTAGCACTTAGGCTTATATACCGCTTCCCAGTGCTTTCCAGCCTCCTCTAAGTGGTTTACAGAGTCACTCTTGCCCCCAACAATCTGGGTCCTCCTTTGACCCACCTCGGAAGGATGGGAGGCTGAGTCCACCTTGAGCCTGGTGAGATTCGAACTGCCAAATTGCAGGCATTACTTGCTGTTTATATCTACACTGTGAACCAAGGCACCAGAGACAAATTCCTTGTGTCTCCAATTGGCCAATACAGAATTGTATTGTGTTGCATTATAAATTCTATTGTCAAGTCTATTGTAAATTCTATTCTATTCTAATTCTATTCTTTCCTATTCTATTTTCTATTCTACTCTAAATTCTATTCTACTCTAAATTCTATTCTACTTTAAATTCTATTCTATTCTATTCTTTCCTATTCTATTCTAAATTCTATTCTACTCTTATATTCTGTTCTTTCCTATTCTATTGTATTCTTTCCTATTCTATTCCATTCTAAATTCTATTCTAGTCTAATTCTATTCTATTCTTTCTTAAATTCTATTCTTTCTTAAATTCTATTCTTTCTTAAATTCTATTCTTTCTTAAATTCTATTCTTTCCTATTCTATTCTAAATTCTATTCTACTCTGTTATATTCTGTTCTTTCCTATTCTATTGTATTCTTTCCTATTCTATTCCATTCTAAATTCTATTCTACTCTAATTCTATTCTATTCTTTCTTAAATTCTATTCTTTCTTAAATTCTATTCTTTCTTAAATTCTATTCTTTCTTAAATTCTATTCTATTCTAATTCTATTCTTTCCTATTCTATTCTATTTTTTCCTATTCTATTCTATATTCTACTCTGTTCTGTTCTATTCTAAATTCTATTCTATTCTTTCCTATTCTATTCTATTTTTTCCTATTCTATTCTATATTCTACTCTGTTCTGTTCTATTCTAAA